TGGTTGTTGCTTTAACTTTGTTTTCCGCTATCATCCGAAAATTAGTGCACAACTTGAGCCAGGATTACTGGGGTTTGATATAAATAGCCGGTTTTTCATAGCAGTTGAGGTTTGTTGTCGACTTAGATATTATTTAAAGGCAGTCAGAGTTTCCCAAATGCTCTCTCACATTGGTGTTTGAGATTATTTTAACACTAAGATTTGAGCCACCTCGTCTTTGAATGAGCGATTTGGCTGTGGCGTTTATAAGTAACACTTTTAAGTCTGTAAAGGGAGAGTTTTTTACGGCATTCTTTTAGAAATTCTAGCGTTTTTGGAATATGGACCATAAACCAAAATCTATGACCATTGTGCGAGCAAAATAATTACTAGGGTTAGAACCCGTGAGGGCAGAATTACCTACTAATCTTCCACTAAGGGCTCTCGTGTTTGTGTGCACGGGTACAATTACTACTCCCTGGAGCGAAAGCACGCCGTCAAAAGAGTCAAACGGTTAATGATTTTCAAGCGTGTTTGGAAGAGGAGCCAATGTGCTCGAAAAAGAAGCCGACGGCAAACTCCAATTTTCTGATGTGGAAGTTATCCTACATTACGAGAGCAACCACCTAATCTCGTACAAGCAGGGCGCTGTTAACCCTCTGTTTGATCGGGTAAAGACACACTGCTCTGAGAATAAAGGATGCAAAATTGAACTTAGTTATTTATTCAGCCTATTTTCCCAAAATTGCTACCCTAGTGACTGTGTACGCCGAATCATGCGACAGGGGGAATCAAGAAAAAATACAAGGAACTAGATTGCTCCGATCGGACACCAAAACCAAAAAACAAGCGTACACATCTCTACATTAAAGATGTGTCTAAACTCGCCGGAAGATACCTGAGGAAGCATAAAATACAAGTGGCGAGCAAACCGACAACTAGGTTACGTAACCAGATTGTACACCAAGAGGATAGGATTGGATATTTTGATAAAAAGCAAGCCGTCTGTGAGATTCCATGTGGCATCTGTAATGCAGTATATAGTGGTCGAACCAGGAAGTCAGCCTGTACATGCCTACATGAACACCGATTGGTAGTAAAGAGGCGGGACCGCTTATCCCAAGTCGTCATGCATACTCTAGAAACTGGGCACAAATCTACTTGAAATAAAACACGCATTATCGGTTCCAGCCCATATAAAAAGGCAGAGAATTCCAGAAGGCCATTCATTTTGATGATTGATGCATCCATCGGCGCACTGATCTGGACGTCATGTACACAAATCTCACAGAGAAATGGAAAAAGTGATAACCAATCAAAACGTGATTTGAGGCCACAGCATTGGCCCTTTTTTTAGCACGGACAAGGCAATATCGATTTTGTGTGCATGTTTAAATTTTAACTGTTTTTCACGCTTTCTATACGCCTAACAACGACCTGGGGAACCACCATCGAAAAGTTACGTAATAAGGTTTGCTAAACTTCCCAGAGGACTCCTTTTTCTTCAAATTATATTTCTTGGGATGCCCATCTTCCAGTACATATATGCATGTGTGTGCATATGCAGAACAACTTTACCGAAAAAAAGACAGGGGAGACTCAGATGTCAATTTTTGGCCTATTGGCCGTCGTCAGCCATCCATATCCCACCCTAAGATGTGCCACCACCGGGGCCCGACGCCCTAACCACTGAGCCACAGACTCTTTGTCCTGCATAAGCTACCAGATTGACAGAGCAGGCACCAGTGTCTGTGCTGCAAGCATTGCAGACCATGTGTTTCGCCGATATTCTACCGCTTCATGGGATAACTGAGATGCATTCAGTTCATCAGTGCCCACCCCCCTCTTGGTGTTCCTCGTGTGCTTTCTGGCAGATTTTTCAATTTCAAAATTTTTAACTTTTCCAATCGCTTGGAAATTAATGCGCTAACCGGGGGGAGGAAGCACCGCTGAGTCAATATTCTCGCAGCTGTATCAGTCAGCGAGGGAGTATCGGCGAAACCAATGTCTGGGCCTTTTGCCAGTACCTGTGTCGTGAGTATGATAAATCATGCAAATTGTATACAGGATTGGTTGCCTGTCGAAAGTTTATGAGTTTTTCATGGCTATCCCGCTGTAGCTTATGGAACTCAGTAAAGATGTTCCATTCCGACTGACGTACTCCACGTAAGCTTATTAATTTCTGAGGAGATTAGAAAGCATGCTCATTTCCTAGGTGTGGGTAGCTACATATGATAATTCATCATCCTGCTGCACAGCCGGCCGTGTTATTGCATGCGCTATCCGAGTATGCATTCAAGTTGACCTGCGTAATTTCAAGGACAGTTTAGGCATTGCCAAGCGGTACTAGCATACAATACTTTGACAGATCTTGTCTAATATATTCAGCTAAAAAATCGGAACGGACTTTCGTTTCGGCCCGAAATACATATACATCATCAGACATGCTAATCTACCCCTGCTACCACGCTCTATGCCCACGCAACCAATTGGCGCGGTAAGCTCACAGCCAAGACCGAACGCCGTCTCCACGGCGTGAGACCACTGAGGTTTAAACGACGTTACTCAGCCTAGTCGTGAACACTACCTCCCGCCTCAACCTCTCTCATTGTTTCACCACAGGACTGTTCGCCTTTGCTGCGCCCTCCTCGTCGATAACGACGGGCGTCTGTGTGAGCCCGAAAGCTCAGACTTACAGTAGGTGGGCTAACTCATGAAATGTCAACCGAAATTCCGAAATGCGTTTTCGTTTCGAAACAATTAATTAAGAAGAGTTGTAAAACTAGTCAACCTGCAACATAATTCTATAATATTTCAGTTACCTCAGGAGGCCGGCCTTGGAATGAACTCCCTTCCGGCTGAATGCAAAAAAATTCGCTCTGTAAAAAATGACTACTAAACCAGCATGCATTTTTCGCATTGATTTTACATGCCCTTAAAAACTGAGTTATATTTCATGGAACACATCCATAAAAATATCCATTCTTCCGCTCATTCGGTAGATGATTACGTCTTCTTCAGATCTTATACTCGATGGAAGGGTATAGTTCGGTTTTCAAAAACTTTTCCAATTCCCGAATACTTTTGGGCCTGCTCTACCGTCACACTTGCATTCAGGGTTTCCAAACTACAAGTCGAATATTTTCCGCGGATGGAAAACCATACCTTTCACTACGGAAATAAAGGAGGACCATATAGGGTTCATAAAATTTAGCAGTGGATTTGATCCATATTGTTAACTTGACAATCCACACTGGTAAATGCAGAGATATGACGATTTATGAACGGTCATTTCACGGTATTTAAAAGTCCCACAATTAGAAACTTTTTTAAAAACGAATTATCTCCTTCCTTCGAGTAAAACATTGGAAGAAGACGTAATTGTCTACCAAATGAGCAAAAGAATGAATATATTTATGCATGTTTTCCGTGAAATATGGTTGAATTTTTAAGGACATCGAAAATCAATGAGAAAAATGCATGCTGCATATGTAGTCATTTTTTACAGCGTGTGGTTTTTGCATGCGACCGGAGGGAAGTTCATTCGAAAGCCGGCATTCTGTGGTGACTGAAATATTATAGAATTATGTTGCATACGGACTAGTTTTACAACCCTACTTAATCAATATTTTCGAAACGAAAACGTATTTCGGAATTTCAGCTGACATTTCCTGAGTTGGGCCACCTACTGTAGACACCGAACGTTCCAGTTATCGTGCGTGTATTTATGACTGAAGGGCATGCACCGTAGTTTATCTTCCGATTTCAACCCAATGGTTCGAGTTGTAGTTCATCCAAATCTGGGGTTGGGTATGGCTAGGTGACGGAAGCCAACAGTAAACTAAAAATGTCTATCTAGTCCCCCTTATCTTTGTCGGTAGTACTTCTTGTGTAGCAGCAGTAAAAATATCGGAGAAACAATTGCCTAGACTTTTGGCTAGTATTTATGCCAGGAGTACGGCATAACAGCTTTGCCATTTAAAATTTATACTACCTTTAGTACTACTTGTCTGTAGAATGAGCAATGCGTGATTACTCCAGGGAAGTCAGTTGTCTTTGACTCAAACAATCATTTAACATTTGGGTCTGACCCTGAAAGTCCATGTCCCGGGCACTTGACTCTATATCCTGCACTTGGTAATTTCAGAAATTACGGGCCTGATTATCCTCTGAAGTTCATACATTAGCAACGGCATAGAGAACGCTGGGGGACCCAATGAGAGGTCGACCTCCCGCCGCTGCGTCATACAGCAGCAGAAACATCTGCGAAACGCGCGTGTCTGGGCTTTCAGCTAGTACATACGTCGGGGTTTCTGTATAACACCCTTGCAAGGTATATATAGACATGTAGAATGACATTACCGACAAGGTCATGTCTGGCTTATTAGCTGCCGTTAGCCATCCATATTCAACCCCGGGTTTTGCAACCCCTGAGAGTCGAACCAGCAACCTGTTGTTTAGACGTTCAATGCGCCAACCACTGAGACACTGCCCGTCGTGTCGGTTGCGATCAGGTATAGGAACAACAATAGAGCAGCGCTCACCGATCGCGTTACAGGGGAAGATCGCCCTGTTGTGCCTTGGAACTAAATCCCGAGTTCCGTCAGCAGGCGCTCAGCGGTTACTACTATAGGCGGAATGGCATTAAGTTGACGCCTTTTTTATTCAAATCGCAAAGGTCATTCCAGCCCCCCTTGTCTTTTCCGATAATGTCGCTCTGCCTATAGTACAAGCCACTGAGTTTCTACCGATTGGGTTCGAGACGGGACAAATGTGTCCCGTAACGAGAGCGATATATGTGTACATGTATATACATACACACACATATACACCGATGGGTTCGCCTCTGTCTGGATTAATTGTCAAGGCGGTTTTGCAGAGGCTCGATCGGCTGGTCTTCAGCTCGTACCCCAAAATTCTGGGCCAGCAAAGTCGATGACAATTTCGTCATCATCAAAATAAGCGATGTGGAGACGTTCAAGACACTTTTGAATTCAATCTTTTCCGACATCCAGTTTACTATGGAAGAAGAGATCAACAATCAGCTGGCCTTTCTTGACGTACAAGTGGCAAAACTGGAAGACGGGAAGATAAGGACAACGGTCTGTCGTAAGGCAACTAACACCAAGCGAATCCTTCACTTCAGAAGCAACCACCCCGTTGGTCACAAACGCAGTTGCGTCGAACCCTCTTCCAACGCGTTCACATACACTGCAGCGACGACAGCGGGAGGAAGGAGGAGATTGAGTACTTGCACGCCCTATTTAAAGCCAACGGTTATCCCAAGTCCTTCATACGCAAGTGTCTTAGGAAGCGCCACCCTGAGCGGTCGGACGGAGAAAAACCCGAAGCTTTGGCCTGCAATCCTTTATGTGAAAAACGTATCGGAGGCAACGGCGAGAATCCTGAAGCCTTTCGGGATCGGAGTGGCTCATAAGCCAGAGTCAACAACCAGACAGCAAATAATGAGGCCCAAAGACCCGCTACCGGTGACAGAACAATCAGCGGTGGTCTACAGCATACCATGCCAAGACTGTGATGCGAGGTATGTTGGTGAAACGGGCAAACGTCTTGGCACAAGATTGCATGAGCGCTAGCTTGCAATCAACCGCAAGGACAAGCTGTCTATGGTTTATGGCCACGTACAACAGAAGAACCACAATTTCGCCTTTGAGAAGGCAAGGGTAGTTGGCCGAACCAATGATAAGATTGCCAGCCTGATGCTCGGAAGTTGGTCCTCGACCGGCACACTTAACAGAGCCATAGATCTGCATCCCGCCTACGAGGCACTTAGCACAAGACTCGAGTCAGTGCGGACAAGGCCATCAGGACAGTCGAGCAAAGTGACGCGTGACCGACAGCCGATGCCAGCGAAAATAGGAGAGAAGCCGGCCGGAGGTCATGTGACCAGAATGGGACGCCAACTCACCGCGACGCCCACGAAACTGAGACCAACTCACATGAGCCCCAACGATTGATCAGTCCGTTGAGTGACGAGGGTGAGGCCGACAAGCATGCTGGTTCGCCAACAATTACGACGGCCGCAAAGGGGTCAAAGGTGACACGAGTCCACCGGCGGTCAATAGTGGAGAGGTCAACGCTAATCGGTAGCGAACGGGCGGGTCATAGTTCGTGCTATGGGTACGGATATAATACCAGGCAGGCATCAAGGCTGAAGCAATCAAAGCCAACAGGAACGTCAACACACTACTCTGATGATGAAAACGGGAGGGTTTTCGAGAGGTCAGTTCAAATACAATTTGGTCCATGAATTCGCCCTCTCATCTTCTTCGTCTTCTTCAGGAGATGATGAACGCGACACAATATCCGGACCTCGAATCTTTACCTATATCGATATATACATATGTGTACTGCTTACTTATATGCATTTCTGACCTAAACGAAAATTAGAGTCCCAGCAAGCCATTTAACCAACCTTAGCTTGCGAAACCAATAATGAACTGGCAACAACGATTGATGGGGGGCGGAATCGAGAAGGTAGGCGGCCTTGAAGAGGGACTAGAAAGAGGAAGGTGAAAAGGAGACTTTTGGGTGGGAAGATTCAGCTAGGCAATGTAACTCTATCCACGCAGCATTTAATTTAATTTTGATCAGCATAGCGAATAAGAATATGTTCACTTTACCGTTTTTACCCACATTGCAATAACTAAGCCGTGCTGAGCGTTGACCACACCATAAAAAACTTTTACTTAGTTGGACACAGTGCATCCCTTTTAGCATAAGGTTATGCCCTAGGGATTCAAGAGAGTGGACTTAATCTGACATTCTGAAGAGCTGTCATAGGGCGAAGTCATAAAAAGGTTCCGAAACGCGTTCTAACCAAAAAGGGCAGAACCTTTTTTGTCTTTCTTTTGATGTTCTACTACGAAAACTAGTATGCACTTGGGTCTCTAGTGAAAGACAAAGACATACTCTGACCCAAGCTGCGTACTCTTTGGTTCCGGCAGTTTGAAGTTCATCTCTAAGAGTTCGGTTTATTAATTGTTAAGCGGCTCGCACTTCACTTCGTGATCTATAAAGACACCTAAGCTATTATTTGGTCCTGATCAAATGTGCCCTAAATGCGACTTTCGAGATCCAGAGACTGTAGAAAGTTAGGCATAGCAAATGCTAACAACGATCTTTAGCGAATAAGAGTATGTTCAGTTTATCGTTTTTTCTCACATTGAAATACTCAAGCTACGCTGAACGCTGTCCAAATCATAGAAAGCGTTTACTTTGATCGACACGGCGTATCCATTTTAACATTCGGCTGCTTCCAAAGGATTCAAGAGAGTGGGCCAAATCTGTCAGACAGCAGACTTGTCATAGAGCGAAGTCCTAAAAATGTCCCTAAACACGTTCGAACAAGACACAAGAGAACCTTTTTTGCCGTTATGTTTGAATTCTGGTACTAAAACTAATATGTACTTGAGTCTCCAGTGAAATACGAAGACAAACTGTGACCCAAGCTGCGCACTCTTTGGTTTCATGAGTGTTGAGGTTCATCTCTAAGAGTTCGACTCACTAATTGTTAAGCGGCTCGCACTCAACTGGCATTCGTGATCTATAAAGGCAGCTGAACTATTATTTGGTCTTGATGGGCCGTGCTCTAAATGCGACTTTCGAGGTCTGGAATATGTGGAGAGTTAGACATAACAACCGGTATCCATGATCTTCCGCATTTCATATAACGGACGCAGGTTTCTTCCTTACTGACCTTGCGCGTTCACCCTTTCACATATAGACGCAGGTTATACGCTGATGGATTGGATTTTTATGTTGAATTCGAAACCAGCGAATCACGAACGCCTGACTGATATTACTGATTTACCCATAAGGCGCGTTTCGAAAAATGAAATTCTCTCAAGACGTAGTAGTGAAGAATAGCACAATTTCTCGCTGGTTACCCCATTTGTTCTTCATAAACAGTGGTGGGAGATGTTAAGCCCAAAGATTCTTGAATTTCATCGTATTGTTTGCTTTATTTGACGCTTCAGACTGCGTAGTGGCTGCTGTGGGAAATAAATGAGTATGTCGAACTGATAGTAGATTCGACACGATTGACAAATTTTGCCCGTTTGGTTAGCACATGCCGGTGCTTGTTGTCAGTCAGGCTGGAGCTGGCTAGCTGGTCGGTCAGATCAGTTAAAGCTGGAGCAAATACCCGGGAGAAAAGATCCGAAATACGCATGATCCGGCATCGAACCAGCGTCGAAAATTCAGCCTATAGACTTCTCTATTTTTCCCAACAAACATGTTTGCCTTCAAATATATATTTTTATTTATAGGCAGATAAGGATTACCGGAAAACACAAAGGAAACTGGATCGGCCATTTCTGGATAATTAGAATCTTTAGCCAGCCACACCCAAACCCCGAGGTATATCTTTCCCTAAATAATCTGCATTTCTGACCGAGATGAAAATGTTCACCTCAACCATCTGTCTAACTAGTCCTTGCCTGCAAAAATAAGAATAAACTGACAACTACGAATAAGAAAAAGGAATCGAATGCGTAGGCGGCGTTGAAGACAACTACAAAAAAGGAAGGGGGTAGGAGGATGTGAGGGATGGGGGACAGACTGGCAACTTAACTATATTCACATAGCTTTTAATTAGATGCTTGAAGAGCACAGCGAATATGAGTCTGTCCAAGTTGTTTTTTTTTGCTCGCGCTGCTTGTTCTCCACACCAGAAAAACGTTAAGTTAATGGACATGGTGCACACCTTTCAACATTCGGCTCTTCCCAGAAATTCAAGAGAGTGGACTTAATCTGACATTCTGAAGAGCTGTCATAGGGCGAAGCCCTAAAAGGGTTCCGAAACGCGTTCTAACAAAAAAGGGCAAACCTTTTTGTCTTTCTATTGATGTTCCGCTGCGAAAACTAGTATGCACTTGGGTCTCTAGTGAAAGACAAAGACATACTCTGACCCAAGCTGCGTACTCTTTGGTTGCGAGAGTGTTGAAGTTCATCTCTAAGAGTTCGACTCATTAATTGTTAAGCGGCTCGCACTCAACTGGCATTTGTGATCTATAAAGACAGCTGAACTATTATTTAATCTTGACGGGCTGTGCCCTAAGTGAGAATTTCGAGGCCCAGGGAATGTGAAGTGTTGGGCATAGCAAACGGTATCCACGAGCTTTCGCATTTCAAATAACGGGCGCAGTTTTCTTCCTTATTAACCCTGAACGTCCACCCATTCACATATAGACGCAGGTTATACGCAGAAGTAAAACTTGGATTTTTAAGGTAATTTGAAACAAGCAATTCAAGGTCGCCTGATTGATATTAGTGAGTTGCCTATTAGGCGCGCATTTCAAGGACATGAATTCTCTCAATGCGTAACAGTGGAGAAGGGAATCCTTTTGAGCTCTCTACCCCATTAATGCGTCATTAACAGTAATGGGAACTGTCAATCATTATGGTTCTTGCGTTCTATCATTTTTGTCAATTTTATTGCTCAGAGCACACATTTACTGCCGTGTGAATTAAGTAAGCATGTTGGACTTTAATAGTCCCGATAAAGTGAGAACCTGTTGATTTTATCGATTAACATATTTTAATTTTACTCTGGAGGACTTTAAATTTCATGAGTAATTGCCTATTTATTATCATCATCGTCGGATGTTCGAACTTTGCAAGCGGGGCTCACATAACCATTTCACACATATGCACATATGTACTTACTTTTTAGGCGAAGTGTTCTGCTCTTTTTACTCATGGAGTTCTGGTTTTTCTTCATCAAAGGCGATAGAAACCGACTCTTCCTCCCTCCGTTCTGCATTTGGTAAATGTTGAACTTGAGGAGGGTGGAAGCTCGAAAGAAGGGGTCCAGCCTCTTTGCAACAGATTTACAAATGTTGTCTGTTTCGCAAATACATGCAAGTGCTATTTGCCTATGAGGCTGGAGTTGGCTAGCTGATAAATTAGATCACTTATGGCTGGAGCAGATACGCGGGAGAGAGGTGGAGGGATATGTATGGCCCGGCATCACGGAAACTTTGGACACACATCCAGCCGTCATGTCCATTCGGGCAGTCAAATGGTTGAAATCGGGAAGATGGGAGCCGTATGGTCTGCACAGACTATTTCTGTGCGCCGTCATCACCAGTATGCACCATCGGGGCACCCTGACATCTCATTCTAACTTAATGAACTGTTTGAAAATCCCTTTAGAACCAAACGGTAAACAGCTCCACCAGATCCGCGAGCATAGGGCTGCTTACGACTTCCGTCCCTTCCTGTTCAAACCATGCCGACAAATCTTTTTATGTGTCCTTTTGCACGAGCCTCAATTCGTTCGGTCAAGAGAGGAAATTAAAGGTACCCAAGGCTGTCTGGTGCATAACTTGCCTTTTCACTGAATGAATGTGGTCAGAGGGATTGAGAACAGGTCTATATGTTGACAAGTGTTAAGATGTAAGAATTGACTGATTTGTATGCTGGTAGACACAGGTCCCAGTTTTGAACAGATTGCATTAGCTATCAAGTCCATGCACCCCAGTTAACAGGGCTGCTCGTCGTCATCCCGTTTCCAAAAACCAACTTGGAGTCTCCTAGGAGCACTAATTAAGTACCTAGTCATTCGTACTTTTTTTTCTTTTAGGCGTGAAACCTCCATCGAATATATTATTCCGCCTCTATGACTCAGCTGCCGTAGCATTACTCACTTCTTACTGGTTTGAAAAAAACGATGAAGTGACGGGAAGTTACAGCACAGGTGAGTAGGAGGACGAATGAATGGCACACTGTGAATCTAGAATCAGACAAGTAGGGCGAGGAGATTTATATCCACAAAGACATGGGTCTGGCATACTTAGAAGTCTACCTTCTGTCCCGTTTAGTTAAGTGTGATTTATAATGGCTTTAATGGCAATAACTCATGAAAGGAGTTATTTGATAGGCGTTCACATTCTCCGTATCAGGCTAGATGTCTGAGGTAATGCTAGGGGTTGGGTTATTCCTAGAGTGAGGGTTGTCCAGCTTGGGTAACGGCTTTAATTTAGGCCCTAAGCCATAGTTGGGATTTTTAGTTTAGGGCTAGGGTCAAGGTTTTAAGGGTTCGTTTTACATCAGGGTTGCATTTAAGTTTTTCTCAAAGGCTTACGAGTTAACCATTGCAGGCATGGTCACTGTTGGCGTTAGAGTTGTAGTTCGCTACAGTTTTCCCAGTGGAGTTACATGCCATACTCCAGCCAAATCTTCAGATCCAGAAGAAGCATTTTTCAGGGCTGATTTCGTGACATTTCTGAACCATGCGTCAGTCTTCTTGTGAAATTTTCTTTGGAGTTCTACCTACCGGGCGGGCATTTTCAACTCTTCTGATGCGCGTTTGACAGTTTGCACTCTAAGCGCAAAGGAAATTCCCTATTCGATAAAGCCGGCGACTGCGAGCTATTTTTCAAAAAAACGACTGTTGAATATTCTCTGGACAAACAGGAATTAAGAACAGCAGGGGCGTATATTACGTTAGGATTGGAGGACGAGAAGGTAAAGAGAAAGGGGAGTAGGAGGAGCAGGAGCAGGAACTGGGGAGCAGGACAAAAATAAGGAAGATGAGGAGAGGGACAAGGAGGAGGAGGAGGAGGAGGAGGAGGAGGAGGAGGAGGAGGAGGAGGAAGAGGAAGAGAAAAAGGAGGCGACAGAAAGGGAGGATAGGCAGGTCGAGGGGGAGGATGACGTTTAGGAGAGGGAGGAGGAAAAGTGGAGGAACGACGACAAGGAGGAGGAGCTAAGGGAGGAGGAAGAAGAGAAGGAGGGGATGCAATAGGGGGGGGGGAAAGAGAGGAATTCGAGAACCACACGGATGACGCAAGCAGAGACGGCTGAGTTCGCAATGAGGGGGGAAGGGAAGAGAGGAAAGGCGAAAGGCCGAAGATACAGTGAGGCCACCGCAAAACCCTCGACCTATAAAAAAGCCTTCTAGCGCTCACATTCGCACAGATTCGGCTAGTGAACTGGACAGCCACCACACATAAATTTGCCGGAGGCAACTCAGTTGCAAGCATTAAACCGCAATAATACGTCCTCGATTTCAGATATGCTAGTCACTGTTGAAGGCATCTGTCCCAAAATATGGACAGATTTTTGTTTATGCGTAAAGTTTTTCGTTTATTCGTCTTTTCCATGGTCCTTAACTGTTCGCGCAGAAGCGATTATCCTCCCATTCTCCTCTTTAGGATAAAGAGGATCTTCAAAGGCACAACAGTAATCTTGGATGCATCTGGTTCGCAGATAGTGGTTAAGCAGGCAGGAGCCTTGGGAGTATTCCGTTGGGAAATCTGCCAACCGTTGTCCGCAGGAGTGAATAAAAATGAAATTGTCTTAGATGAGCTGCATCCAATTTTGCCATTCTGGTAGATCTAAAGGGGTTTTATAGTTTAATTAAGGCGTTGGACTTTCAGTTGGAAAAATTACCAATTATCTAATAACAGTAGCTGGCCTATTTCGTGAAATGCGTTTTAGATTAGTGTGAAATACGCAGGCAGGGTTATAATATTGATTATCGTTCAGCAAAGTCCCACGATATTACTCTCGCACTAAGATGATGGCTTTTAAGGTAGCTTTTCAAAGCTATCTTCGAAAACCACACTCGGCTGTAAATGACTACTTAAGCAATATGAATTTCCCGATTGATTTTCGGTGGCCTTATAAATTCAAATTTCTTCTATGGTAATTATGCACAAATACGTTCATCTGTAGAGCCATTTAGCAACCAATTATGTCCTTTCAAAACGACGTGCCTAAATAAAACATTATTTTCAACTTGATAAAGTCTCCTATTATGAGACTTTTAAAGCCATGAAATACCTACGAATAGGGCACCTTGTCCCTCCGTCTGTCAGTTAACCTTAGCAGCATACAACATAGTCCATATTCACTGTAAGATTCTAAGATCCCAATCTAACGTCTTTACCATAGGCAAGAGAATTTTATGAATTTTTTACTCAAGAAGTATGCAGCATGTACTTTTGAAACCTTATACGCGCGTGTAACTGCCGAAGGGATCCAAAATTTTTGAAAAATTTAACATGTTCTCAGAGCCTTAAGATGTCCCACCACGAAGCTTATTTTTCAACGAGATGCCTTTTAAAAGACGAATGCAAGAAATTAATTCTACCCAGATAATTGTACTTTGAAGCGAAACTGCCAATTACCTCGACAGCAGTTGACTTCCTGTGCACATAGTATCAACATCGTTGCATTATCGAGGAAGTGTTTTCTGTCGGCAAGCAATCATGACTTCTAGTCAACTTTTTAAGAGATTAAGCCACACCTTCTTTGCTCACCCCAACCCCTAGCCTAGAAAACCGCCCTCTAGAGGAACTATAAGTGGGTGGCACACTTACGTTTAGTTCTGCTTTTGGAAACACTTCCATCGATGGTAGAGGGCGCTCACCGATCGTTTTTACGGAACTCACTCCTTCCGTTGTGCTTTACGGGCTCTCTCTCGACCCTAACCAGCAGCCGTACAGCGACGCATGATATAGGCAGTATGTTATTACCGACAAAGACAAGGCACAACAAAACGAGTGAGTTCCGTAAGAAAGATCGGTGAACGCCCCCTACCATTGTGTATTCCCGATCGAAACCGACAGGGCAGCGGGCTCGTGGCCCAGTGAGTAGAGGCGTGGACTTCTAACTAACAGGTCGCGAGTTCGAGCCTCGGGTGTTCCACACTTCGGGGTTGGGTATGACTAACTGACGACGGCTAATAAGCCAGAAATAGCCATTCAAGTCTCCCTTGTCTTTGTCGGTACTAACATAATCCTTTCATTATTACTTCCGTCAAAGAATAATGAACTTAAACCCTTCTGTGATAACACAGTATTCCAAATGCAGTATTTAATGCGTGCCAAATTGATTATTCGGTAGAAACGCTTATGAAAACAGAAAGTTGAATTCAGGTATAGACGACAATATTAGAGCAAGTTTAGTTTCGCTGTACGAATAGCCAGATATCAAATTAACGCCTCGATTCTCAATTTGTTTATTAATGCTCCTATAACCGGGGGCATAGGGAAAGGACGGTGCTAGTGAAAATGTCCGGGTTTAACAGCAAAAAAGCCAAATGAATTAGAACGACAACATCCATCGCGTGCATCATGCGGTGAGCACAACAACGGCGACCTGCTCGTGAAATAATTTAGAGTGGGGCAGACTTGCGTGGTATTTACTTCGCCCTCGGCCGCAATGATTGGCGAGGTTAAACACCCACTCTACGCGCTCTGCGAGCGTCCCTGTCCCTACTGCATACATCGGATTACACATTACGGGGAGATTTCGTGCCCCACTTTAGTGAGAATGAAATAAAGCTGAAATTTTCGAGGACCCATTACAGTCTGACGCGCAGTCCTGAGGGGTCGTCCGATATTTTTATATTTTTCACCAACACAGCTTCACTTTATCTACTTATACAAGGGTTGGTGCGTCAAAAATGTAGTGTTTGCAGGGAAACGTTCACTGCCCTAAACTTTATTGGTCTTTTTGGCATTCATAAAAATCGGACGACAACACGACCACACTTCACACCCTTCAGTCGACACTAGAAAGACTTGTAGATATTTGATGAAAGTTTACTAACTGCAGTTTTTAAAAACCGCAACCTGCCTCTCCTTTCGAAACCGACTTTCAGCGAAAAGATGTCTCTTAAAAAACTAGCGCAAAAAGTAGATTTAATCCAGACACTGAAAATTTGAGGATAAATTGCCAACTACTTCTGCGGCGAGAGGTTTCTTGGACGGGTACTGATGAGCGTCAACACGGCTGCGTTATCTAAGGACCGTTTTCATGTCGAAAAGCAGATACGACTTTCGGTAAACCTTTCAAAGGGTTCGTGTGCACCTGCGGAATCTCACCTGGAACGCGGTTAATGTCCCTGTTTCACCAGACATGGGAGAGCGTACAAAACTGTCCCCTCCCCTCCTTAAAAAACTTTCATACGTCACCTTTTAAAAAGAACCAAGCTAAAAGTCCGTCGGTCGATTTGTGAAATCGGAGAACAATAAGTGGAGGACATACTTACGTTTGCCCATGAGTAGACGACTGAATTAATAGAATGTTAGTTTCGTTGTACGAGTAACCAGATATTCAATTAACACCTCGATATGCAATTTATTTACTAATGCTGTTATGGTGGGAAACATAAGTAAAGGGTGATGCTCGTAAAATGGCCAGGTTTACGTGAAAAAAAAGCAAAATGCACTACATCGACTGTCACGAATGATAACGTCAGTGGCGTGCCTCATATAATGAAAACAACAACGAGGACTCGCGCGCACGAAATAGTTTATAATGGGGCAGACTTGCGTAGCGTTCATCGCACGCTGCCTTTATCATTTTGTTCCGGTGGCAAGACAGTATACACGCTATCTTTATTAAACTCGGCCGCAGTGACCGTCAAAGTTATGCTTCTAGACTACGCGTGCCACGCACGTGACGCCTCCCACTACACGCGCGTGATTACTTTTTAGGGGAGATTTTTGGTCCCACGTCAGTGAGACTGTCGTGAAGACCACATATAAAAGGAGCTGTTGTAGCCTATTCACAAGTACTGAGAATGAGCGAATTACCCTGACTGATGACAACCTTCTATTCCATGATTGGTAAGGCGTCCTGACGCGTACCACAAGCATGTATGGATTTTATGAGTTACTCACAAGCCCAATGTTCCCCTTCGACCGATCGTTGCTTTGAAAGGCAGCCCCATTTACAATCTATCCAGGTGGATGGCTAGACAACTTAACTTTCTCCGAGAAGACTCGAGGACCTCCATCAACTCGGTCTCCCAATTTCTGGCCGAGATCCTAGGAAAAGTTGTCCCACCTGATCAGATTATGGTGTCCTTTGACGTGGTTTCATTATTCGAATCCATCCCACCGGGCCTGACACGCGACGTTCTACGCAAACGACTCGAATAAAACTACGACGAAACAAACAGACCCCTAAAGATCGACCACTTTCTGCAACTCTTTGCTTTCTGCCAACAAACCTTTTTCACCTTCAATGGCAGAACCTACTAGCAGATCAAAGGAACATCGATCGGTTCGTCAACATCTAGCCTGGTTGCAGAAGTGGTTTTGCAGTAGCTGGAAAAAGTCGCCTTTGACTACTACGAACCTGCATTTTGGCGCCGGTACGTGGACGACATGTTCGTTATAATTGAAAGGAGTAGACTGGCCGACTTTCAAGATCTGCTTAACGGTTTCCTCACGAACATTCAGTTCACAAGCGAAGAAGAGCATGCAGAACAGCTGCCTTTCATGGACGTCCTCATCACACGCACACCCAATGGCGAACTCAGTACCACGGTGTACAGAAAGGCGACTAACACGACTCAGATTCTCAACTACCATAGTAACCACCCAATGGCGCATAAACGCAGCTGTGTTAGGGCATTCTTCCAAAGGGTAAAAACGCACTGCAGTGAGCCAGAGAGACGAGTACGAGAACTACCGCACCTTCGGGGCCAACTGGCAAGGAATGGATACCCGAGCAGCTTTGTCAGCCGCTGCCTCCGCACGCACCCACGGCGAACAAACGGAGGAGAGCCGCCAACACTCTGGCACCCTCCACCATATATAAAGAACGTGTCCGAAGCGGTGGAACGTATCGCTGGAGAGCTTGGCGTGAGGATCACTCACCGTCTGACAGCGACCATGCACAAAAAAATCATGAAAATGAAGGACCGACTAGACGTGGGAGAACAATCCGGTGTCGTTTATCAGATCCCATGTCGGGACTGCCCTCGCCACTACACAGAACAGGCCGGACGACGACGACTTAGCTCACGAATAACGGAGCATAAGCGGGCAGTCTGGAGAAGCGACCCGTTGTCTCGGGTCGCCACTCGCACCCTGAAGGAAGGCCACAAATCCAACTTCGCGAGCACGCGGATGGTTGCGCGGGCCAGCAATAAGACAGGGTGAGACCTGATGGTGGCCTGAGCGTCTGACACCAACTCTACCAACAGA